TAGATCTGGCGTTTTGACTTCACATTGACAAGCCTGATCTGCATACTCATTACAGGTCAGTAATCCGAAATAAAGAAGTCAGAGGCAGCCAGCATTTTCAGATGGACGTCAATAGTAACAACCCTTCCTATTTCTCTCAGTAAAAAGTTCTGTCATTGGCATTAGATGCCCTCACCTTTTCATCCTGCTGCTCCTCTAAAGCCATTTCTTCTAAATCCTGTGTTATAAAGACCTCAGTGGACCCTCCAGATTGTTTCTTCACAGGCTTGTTACCTCCTTTTCCCTTCTGTTGCTGCTTCTTTGCAGTTTCTTCCTTTTCTTTCCCTTTCTTTCCCTTCTTCCCCTTGTCCTCCTTGTTGGTCCCTGCAGACTACAAAGTAACAGGATTAGCCTCTGCAAGAGACACACAATGGATCTGCAGAAAAAGTGGAAGTGCACATCCTTACCCCCAACAACTGCATAATAAGCTCTCGGTCTTCATCATCTTGATCTTTATACTTCTCTTTCATTTTCTTCATTTTGCTCTGAAAGCGTCAGAAATAAAGGGGAACTGGTCAGAGAAAAGATGACATCAATACCACCACAGGAAGCAAGATAAATTATAATGTTGCTCTGGTAATTGAGAAATTTAAAGTGCATCTGTCAGGCAGCAAAGCAGACTACATGCTGTAAAGACAGAAAGCAAGGAAGGGAGGCACTACCCTTTTTATCGAGTTGACCAAGTACTGTATGTGACACATCTGATTATTTGTACTACCAGTAAATTTTCAGGACAAACGGTCAGGAGATCTAAACCATTGTTTAGGTAGGGAAATCATTCTGTGAAGTGCTGAATTCCTTTAGATGGGTTTAACAAACTCCAGCGAATGTGCTTTTTAAGCTAGAAGGTAACCAACTGGCTGCTCTCATATGTACACAGGCCACAGCTTAGCTTTTGTGGGAAACATGTTCAAAGGTTTTAATAATGATTTTATTGTGTAGGGCTCATCAAAGCCAACACGTTTTGTGATGATCGCGGTGTCAGACCCCATCCCTTCTCACCAAACTCGTGACCGAAGGACTAGCCAATCTAAAACCGCGTTGTCACGTGCGTAACAATGCCACGCCCAGCTGAACCCTGCACCAAGATTTTCCAGCTAATGGACCACAATCTGTGTACCTGCAGCCTGGGAGCGATTGTTACTGGGTCAGGTTAATTACGCAATTAACCCTTCACACTGCCACCACCTCCTTTTTGTACAGAGAAAGAGGAAACTCGGCAATATCAGCAATAACACTATGATGTTTGAATAATCATTTGTATACACAATGTCACCGCAGACAGATGTATGCAGACATTTTAAAACACACAGTAGTACTCTTCAGAGGCAGGGATTCTTAGTTTGCATTAAAGAGCTTTAGAAACAGTTCAACTCTTTCAGAAAGTAAATATTTATTATTAAAAGGTCAAAAGGGTGCAATAAAAATATTTACGGAAAAAGATGTAGCCTATATATATATATATATATATATATATATATATATATCCAGGGACCACGTGTCACTCAACAGAGAGGGAGGGGGGATTTGGAGGGGAGATAGAGAGATACAAGATGGGGGATCCTTAGCAAGATGGAGGACCGCGTCCATCTTTGTATGCACAATTGCTACACGTTTCACTTTCAATAAGTTTTTACTGGAGCTTTGTAAGATACATAGTGTAACCCGTATAAATGCTCAAATGTGGCTAACATATAAAGAAATTTCAGAGTGCATCTCTAAGTCATAGGAAACAATAGGAGGTTAGTAAAGATCAATAAGCATGACATACTACAAGCCAGAGTTGCAGTAGTTACACCTGTTTTGTGAACTACATAAAAACAGGTAGAAATCCTAAATTCAGGGTGCCTTATGGGCTCTGGCTAATATTGCAGACTATGTTGCCTGTAACATAACATACCACGTTCCCATGTATTTCTTCTCTCATTGTGACCCTCCCTTTGTGTTATTATACCCCAAACTACTGATTGGGACCCTTGTTTACAGCTCATGCTGTCCCACATTTTTTTTTAGTATGTCTTTGTCTTGCTCTAAAAATAATAGACATATTTGCCTCTAAAAATAGATAGGAAAGGAGGAGGGTGAGGGGAAGGGAAAGCCAACAGGTTTCAAGGGGTAAGGGGGTTCCCTTCATCAGGGCTTGAAATTAGCTGAAAATAGGAAGATTTGGATGGGTAGAGGAACAAAAGGACTCTGAACTCCCAAAATGTGCTGGCTCTTAATGAACACTATAAACAAAAAAAGATTTCTGCACCATGCAATAGTCTGGTACTCGTCTTGCTACACCCTTGAACACAGGGGCATATTTACCACAAGGCAAACAAGACATTAGCCTAGGGCGGCCTTTTTCAGGGGGGCAGCAGTGGAAGAAGAAACACTTGCGGCATGGGGACCAGATAGGATCAGAGAGAGGCTGCAGACTGCTTGATGGTGTATGCAAAGCCCAACTCTCGTTCCCGGGGATGTCCGGAGCTGTGAAGATGAGTGTCTCTCTCTTGTTTGGGGGGGGGGGGGGGGGGAATGTATGTTAGTGGAAGGCTGTCTCGGGGGGGGGGGGGGGGGGGGGGCTTCCAATTTTTCTGTTGCCTAGAGCAGCACAACACTTAAATGCACCACTGCTTGGACACCTTACTTCTGCTAATACGGATACACAGAGATTCAGCAAAATGCGAAGACAAAATATTCCATAGCTCATGCTCTACTCCCTTTTTGCCTCATTTTTACTACCCTGTTTTGCTCACTATCAAAAATGATTACCCCAATTATAGATTTTGTCTTAGCACTTTACTAAACCTCTGTACAGTAATACTGCTTGGACCAGGTAAAGGGATAGGCTAAAACTTCTGAAAGTTTGTGAAGCTCCTGAAAATGCACATAAAAAATATCTGTGCTCAACCGTGTTATGGCTACAGGCCCAGACGTGCACTGATCTCTGAACTGTAAATTTACACTGTTCATTCCCAGGTAACGGTCACCCAAGAGACTAGAGATGGCAACCAAACAGTTCAGATAATTCACACCTTTTGTCCTCTCTTCCTTGGTAACTGTACTGAGGCCCCTTGTGGAAGAGACTTGGCAGCAGTCATATCCATCTTGTCTGCATCTTCGAGCGGTTGAGATATTTCTGAATCATTTGGCTTCTTTTTCTTTTTCAGCTCGCTGATGAAAAAAAAAAAATAAAATTGAGAACAAATCCTCACTCAAATGATCCACATATGACCACAACACAGATGCAAATGTTTTAGAACTATAATATACTGATCCTTATCATCGTGTTCTAACATTGCTATACATAAAACCACTAAATGCTCATTTTTCAGTGCACATTTGAATCTGGTTGGCTGGAAAGTAAAGTTCACATACTTTTAAAGTGGTAGTAAAGCCACTTTGTTCATTTTTACCTACAGGTAAGCTGAGAATAAAAGTTTACCTGTATGTAAAATGAATATCTCCTAAATGTGCACTCTTTAGGAGATATTGTTTTTTTTTTACATCCGCATGCGCTGTCTAAAGGAATGGCATACCCTTGTCATTCCTTCAGAGCACTGTGCCGTATCCCAAGACTCCAGTTTGCATGAATGGGAGTGACGTCATCGTGGCTCAGCCCGCCAGATGGCAGGAACTCGTGAACCCAGAAGGAAGACCGGGTGAAGATTGAAGCCTCTACAGTGGTGACAGCGTGCTGCTGGAGGGCTTCGTTTAAAGGTAAGTTTTACATAATGTGCTAGTATGCTTTGCATACTAGCACATTATGCCTTTTTCTTCCATGAGGATTTTTTTTTTTTTTTTTTTTTAACACTGTTTACTACAACAATTATAGTGATATTAAAGCTTCCCATTTTTAAAATTAAAATAATAAACGTGTTATACTTACCTGCTCTGTGTAATGTTTTTTTTTACAAAGCAGCCCTGATCCTCCTCTTCTCGGGTCCCCTGCAGGCGCTCTCGGCTCTTCCTCTTCTCCATGTGCCACCACAGGAAGTGCTTCCTATGGTGGCACACATACAGGCTCGCTCCTGAGCCCCGCTATCTGTGTCTAATGACAAGCAGTGGGCCTCAGCCCCACCCCCTTGTCATAGGATTTGACATAAAGGAGCTGGAGGCAATGGCTGCCACTGCTATCAATCTGCCCAGTAAGGAGAGTCAAAGCCAGGAGAGCCACTGTTCTCATGCACATCGCTAGATCGAGATAAGGCTCTATGCATTAGGCTTTTTTTACCTAAATTCATAGAATGTATTAAGGTAAAAAAACCTTAAGGCTTTCGAACCACTTTTAGCTATTTTATATGCCTTTTTCACATCTCTGAGTAGAACTAATCACTGGTTAGGTGAGGTTTATCTTACCGTCTTTCTTTAGCTGATAAATGTTTGCGACCAGCTGACTTATCATTCTAATGGAAATAAAAAATAGAATTAAAAAAAAGGATACAAATGTCAAAAAACTATTTTATAGGAGGAAACAATTTCTGAATATATTCTTACCGCTGGTTGGGGCTGTGCAAGCTCCGCAGCTGCCATCTTGGTCGTGGCCCTATGGAGACAGAAACACACTTATATTGCGTCTTGTAGTAAGCTAGTAAGTTCCTCTGAGCAACAAAAATACAAATTGTCCATTGTGTAATGTAACACGTTTTGGACAGAATGAAGAAGGTTTGGAATCCTTGTGGAGATTTGCTTTTACTTTGTTTTGGTGACAACATTGTCATCATAATGGAAGTGAAAGAAAATCTCCAATGAGAACACACAGAAATAAAAGGCTGAAGGAGAATAGTGGGAGTTTACCTTCCCTTAAAGTTTTACTATACCCCGCACCCTGCATTCACTATATCCGGTCTCCCCGGACCCTGCATTCACTATATCCGGTCTCCCCGGACCCTGCATTCACTATATCCGGTCTCCCCGGACCCTGCATTCACTATATCCGGTCTCCCCGGACCCTGCATTCACTATATCCGGTCTCCCCGGACCCTGCATTCACTATATCCGGTCTCCCCGGACCCTGCATTCACTATATCCGGTCTCCCCAGACCCTGCATTCACTATATCCGGTCTCCCAGGACCCTGCATTCACTATATCCGGTCTCCCAGGACCCTGCGTTCACTATATCCGGTCTCCCAGGACCCTGCGTTCACTATATCCGGTCTCCCCGGACCCTGCATTCACTATATCTGGTCTCCCCAAAATCTGCATTCACTATATCTGGTCGCCCCGGACCCTGCATTCACTATATCCGGTCTCCCCAGACCCTGCATTCACTATATCCGGTCTCCCAGGACCCTGCATTCACTATATCCAGTCTCCCCGGACCCTGCATTCACTATATCTGGTCTCCCCAAAATCTGCATTCACTATATCTGGTCGCCCCGGACCTTGCATTCATTATATCTGGTCTCCCAGGACCCTGCATTCACTATATCTGGTCTCCCCGGACCCTGCATTCACTATATCTAGTCTCCCAGGTCCCTGCATTCACTATATCTAGTCTCCCAGGTCCCTGCATTCACTATATCTAGTCTCCCAGGTCCCTGCATTCACTATATCTAGTCTCCCAGGACCCTGCATTCACTATATCTGGTCAACCACAGAACACACAACAACATGGAAGTGATATTTTAGTAAATATAAACTGCTAAACACCTTTTCTCATCAGCAGTATATAGCAGTCTTGTGACTTCTATCAGTGTCCAGCTGAGCACTGGTTAAAGCTTGTAGGAGGAGTTTTCATTTTGCTCTGACTGTCCTATGAGGTTGCAAGACCCCTGATGTCTGTCTGTACAGTGCTCATTGGCCCTGTGCTGAACACATGCACCCTCCCAAAGAAAAAAAACTCTCAACAATACACACTAAACAGAACATGTGCAGTGACTCTTAGTGCTCTGTACTATCAGCAGATGGATTGGGGACAGTAGAAGAAGGGGAAGATCAAAGAAGACAGGATCAAACAGCCTTTTTACACAATGTGGAGGATTAACCCCTTAGGTTCCACAGTGAGTATAACAAGCATGTTTACTGCATATACAGACTGATTTTACTGTTGTAGGTTTAGTAACACTTTAATTGCAACGAGTTTATGTATTGCTGTCTGTGTCCCTGCTGGATATTGCTCCTCACTACCTATCCTGGATATTATGGATAAAATAAATAAACTTTTTACTTAATGTATAACTAAAGGCAAAACATTTCTTTTACTTTTGGATAGAGTGGAGAAGGATTAGAACGCTTATCAGTTCATTGCTGTCTGTGTTCTCCCTATTTTTCCTCTTTACCAATATCATTGAAGGTGAATGTAAAAGAAAACCCCAAATTTTGGGTTGTCCCCAGAAAAGTAATAGAGGGGAAATCTTCCAGGGATACTAGTTCTGGTGACCTAATTTGCAGGGATTTCCTCTCACTTTCTGTTTGGCTATGAGACAGGAAGTGAAGGGAAATCTCGGCAATGGGACACAGATGGCGAAAAAAAATAACCCTCCCCTGCTCTATCCAAAATGAAAAAAAGTTTTGCTATAGTTCTACTTTAATATATCTTGATATTTGTCCATACCCACAAGTGCTTCTATAACTTTTCCTATATGTATAAATACTCACTGGGTGAAGTGCACCCAGGTATTTACTTGATATACAGAATACAGTGTATAACCTTTGGACTATTTTGGTGAGCGGTCCTATTAAAAGCCCAATCCCAGCCAGTATTAGCAAGGAAGAGATAAAAATGTGATTGTGCTTCTGTGGGTCCATTTGGGAAGTTTCCCCCTCACAATGTGAGAAGAAATGTTTTGGCTGGAATTGGGCCTAAATAGGGACAAAACTGTGCAATCAGAACTCATGAAACTGCTGTATCATTCTCCATGGCTGCCTGAGACTTTGTGACAGGAGGAGCCAATGCTTAGACTTTCCATAGGAGGACATCATGCCAGTGGACAATTCCACAGTCACCATCAATCACCAACAGCAGTCTGAGGCACATTAATTCCTAACCACTTCCGCGCCGCCCTCTAGCAGAAATACTGCTACAGGACAGCACAAGTGCGCAAAATCACCTATATATACGTGATTTTACAGTTCCAGGTAGAGGGTGCGCGTGCCCTACTCGGGCCACCATTCGTGGCCTCGCGGTCAATCACCTAGTCTCGCCTGGTGATTCCCCATTGGCACCCTATGGGGTAGAGATCAATGGGGGAAAGAACTGTGTATAAATAACACTGATCTCTCCGTTGTCAGCTCCTGCAGATGGCTTTGCAAGCCATACAAAGCAGCGTGCTTACAGTGTAAAGCACACACACAGCAAAACAGCACACAGTTAACCCTTTGAGCACCCCAGATGTTAACCCCTTCCTGTCCAGTGTCATTAGTACAGTGTCAGTGCTTTTTATTAGCACTGATCGCTGTATTGGTGTCACTGGGGATGTCAGTGACACCCAATCAGTTTCCCCCCAGTGTCAGAATGCCCACCACAGTGAAGCTATAAGTCACTGATCACCACCATTACTAATAAAAAAAAAAAAAAAAAAAAAAAAGAAGAAGTATTCCATTATATATACCGCCGTTTGTAAATGCTATAACTTTCACGTAAACCAATTAATTTACACGTATTGGGATTTTTTTTTAAACACAGACATGGAGTAGAATACATTTTGGCCTAAATTTATGATGAAATTAGACTTTCAATTTTTTTGCTGGACATGTTTAATAGCAAAAAGTCAAAAATATAGTTTTTTTTTTTTTTAAATTGTCAGGTTTTTTTGTTTATAGCGCAAAAAAATAAAAAAATCAGAGGCAATCAAATACCACCAAAGGAAAGCTCTATTTGTGGGGAACAAAAAGGACATAAAATTTCATTAGGGATAAGCACTGCATGACCGCACAATTGTCAGTTAAAGAAACTTAGTGCCGTATCGCACAAAATGGCCTGGTCAGGAAGGGGGGTAAATCCTCTGGAGGGCAAGGGGTTAAACTACAGTAAGAAAATCTACGAAAACACAAACCACCTTTTTGCCTGAAGATGGGAGAGGTCTATGGAAGTGTCAGGGAAGGCCATCTGTTCATCTCCATCCTCCTCTTTAATAGAGCTGTTGTCTTCTGCAGACTGTAAGCTTTCATTATCACTGTCCTCCTCTGAGTGCACATCTTCTTTTACTTCTTCATGGCCTGATGTCTCTGTGGTCTCAGCTGTCCCTTCTGCAGAATTATCTTGCAGACCAATGTCTTTCAAATCTCTATTGTGCGGTTTTTCTTCTTGTTCCTCCTCACTGCTGTCCTCACTTCCATCTTCTGGAACCTCTAGAAACAGACAGAGCAGCCAGACTCAGAGACCAGATAGAACTGTAGATTTAGTTTATAATGTGGCAATGAGAAGAAGGAAACCCAGCATGTTGACTGTACTTCCTTCTGTAAGACCCATCATTTCTATTTTGACCAGTTTTTAAAATAAAGGATTTACCAAAAACAATCTACTACATCACTAGCAAAAGTTGTAGTTCAAGTCTTTCACAGGAAACTGTGAATGAATGAATGAATGGCGGGGCCCTACATGGTCGCATTATTTTCAAATAGTACCTGTGGCGGTCCCCGGGAGAAGATCCCCACTAGCTGTCACTCGGGTGGGGTGGGGGGGGGGGGGGGGGGGGGAGTGGCTGCAGCTGCTGGAACATGGTACATGTTCCACCTTAAATATGGGTGGAACATGTAACATGTTCCAAATGCTGAACTTATCCTTTTGGGCTATCACATAGTTCCCCTTCTTCAGGGCTTAGCAGATTTTGAAGAATTAAACATATAGGCTACCTGAACTGGCAAAATAATGTAGGGCTCCCCCCACATGGCTGTGTCATTCATTCACAGTTTCCTGTGAAAGACTTGAACTACAACTTTTGCTAGTGATGTAGCAGATTGTTTTTGGTCAATCCCTTATTTTAAAAACTGGTCAAAATAGAAATGATGGTCTTACAGAAGGACGAACAGTCAACATGCTGGGTGTCAACCAGCAAGGCAAGTAATAGATTTGAGTATCACCCGATACAATTTGGAAAAAATCTCAATCATCAGACTCATATCAGTAAGACCAGCCCTAAAGCAAACCTGTGCTTTGCCTATTCAAGCCACAGCAATAGGTTTGCTTTAACGCCCCCCATTCCTAGAATTATATTACTTTTCCTTCATTGTTCTGTTCAGCACCAGAACCACAGGAACGACCCTGTACTTCCAGATATGAAGGAGCATGTGACCTAATTAGGCCAATCAAGCATTGGCACAGGGAGCCCAAAACCCCGTTGTCAGCTACGACTCCACAGACTCACATCTTGCACAGGGCTTTCCTTTTGCTCTCGCTGGATCAACAAAGTGGCGGGGGAGTTAAAAGTAGTTAAGTATACACTGCTAAGGAGAAGTAAGTTAACCTGTTTTGCCCTGGGTGGGAAAAACACAGGTTCACTTTAGGATGATCACACAATATACAACCTGATTGCACAATTCTCAAACAAATTTAGATTCAGTATCCTTGTAAGATGAAGTTGAGCCCAAAAAAATCCATTCAATGCATCTGCAATCAATCAGGTTCTGACACTGCAGAGATTTTTGTAACGCTTACAAAAAAAAAAAAAAGGATTATGAAATCGGATTGCATGGTATTTGGCTGGCTTCAAGGATTTTACAGCTTGCGGAACGTTTTTTCAGTTGTGTATACCTTGTACTGTAACTTTACTAAGACCTCATGTTAATTGAGCCTTTACACTAAATAGAAGTTTTCTACAGTTTATAAGTGCTTGCCTCCTTTAAACATTGTATAAAACCTGAAACATTTTAAAGATCTAAAAGATGGATAGAACATGTGATGTTGGATGCACAATGATATACACAGTTCTACGCCCTCACCTAATGCCTCAGTTTCTTCTGCTGCAAGCTCCGAGGTACTTCCCGTCACACTTTCCAGGTCTTCATCCTGCAGTTTCACCTTGCGCTCCCCTTTATGCCTCCAAACACAAGTCTCATCCACCTGGAAAAAGAACCAACAACATTCATGTCATTTTGTTTCCGCATTATATAGGACTATTTTGCTTGTAATAAAGTGGTCTGAAAGTTCTCCTAAAATGCTTACAGGCATGACAATTATAACAACTTGGGGACATTGTAATACAGATCAGTGAAAACTGAACACGGGAGATTTTTAGGGACTCCAATTTCCAAAGACAACTATCTTGCAGCCAGGAGCGCCGCTGGAAACCAGAGACAGCTGGCAATGGCAGCTAGGGAAGTTAGGTTCTGGTGAGTGGACTAACTGTCAAGTCTTAAAGGAGCAGAATTATCTAAAGTCTATCAGAGACCCAGCTTTCCTAAAACCGTTACACGCTGGAGAGCTGGCTTAAAAAAAAAAAATCTTTTCCTATACTAGAATGTGAGAAAAATGTGGCGCTAATCACTAGCAAATCAAAATACAACGATGTGAAAAAATATATATATCCCCTCAATTATAAGTGAATAAACATATCTATTCAATAACCTCGTGCTAATAAACACAAAAAAACTCCTATAGTGATGGTGAAAAAAACAGTCCTAATGACTGATAATAGTGCGTGTTTTACCAAATATATATAAACATATAAGATGCACTTAATATATGTACATATGTATATATACACACACCACAAATCTCATAAAATGAATAAAAACAGAATCATGTGCAAAAGTGAACTCAAATTAGTGCAAAAATACACACAATAATAAATTTTCATGCGTATTTAAAGTCCAACTTTCAATAATCACACTCCAGTGAACAAAATAACTCGTGCTGATATCCGTGTGAAAAAAACGTGAATTGGTGGCTGTATAGAAAATCATCCGATCACCGGCTGAATGAGCCTCTCACCTTCCAGACTCGACCCTTGCGAGTCAAAACGTTTTTATATAGGATCCCTCTCACAGATCCTCCAGGTTGAGATCACTCCAAATGACTGCTCCCAATATATGCGGATCTCCCTCTAGGGATCAGGACTCCAATAATAGCTCCTTCTCCATTTTAAAAATAAAAATCGTAATGAAGGGTTGTATATCGCTAATGTTTATTGTTTTTATGGTTGGCTCAATTCCAGATAGTGTCTATATATATGGTGCTTTATTCTAGAGTAGTTACCACTATATACATCTATGCTTTCTGTGTTATTGGTACAGATAGGGTATCAGTAATATATGTTAGTGGTTTAATATTTATATATATACTCTTTATACTGGTCCGTTTATATACTATCGCGCTGTGAATAGGTCCACTGTATAAGAGATGCACACATATATATATAGATCTATCTGGTAGAGATTCTAGTCTCCGTTCCCATTTTCTGATACTCTAGCCCTATTGGGCTGAGTAATGTATTTTTGGCCACACGAACATGGCCGCGGAATATGCTGTAGAGCGGGCGTTGACCCGCCTTTGGGGAGGTACACTTGATTAGGTAAGGTATTTATAGGAAGTCCTCCACTACGCATGTCAGCCCTGAGGAAGTCACATGGTACTGTGACGCAACGCGTAGGCCCGACGTAGTGATGTATTTCCGGCGTGGCGGCCATCTTGGTACACCTTTTCTTATCCTGTACACCCATGCAGATAACATCCAAAAGCATGTGGTAGGAGCCTTGTTTTTCACTAATGTAAGTGCGCATTCTATTTTACCACACTTTGGCAATAAACATATTACGCTATGGGAGCTTTGTGTTTATGTTACATGTGAGTGGTTAGCGCAGTATGTGATCCTGCCTGGAGAAGGAGCTATTATTGGAGTCCTGATCCCTAGAGGGAGATCCGCATATATTGGGAGCAGTCATTTGGAGTGATATCAACCTGGAGGATCTGTGAGAGGGATCCTATATAAAAACGTTTTGACTCGCAAGGGTCGAGTCTGGAAGGTGAGAGGCTCATTCAGCCGGTGATCGGATGATTTTCTATACAGCCACCAATTCACGTTTTTTTCACACGGATATCAGCACGAGTTATTTTGTTCACTGGAGTGTGATTATTGAAAGTTGGACTTTAAATACGCATGAAAATTTATTATTGTGTGTATTTTTGCACTAATTTGAGTTCACTTTTGCACATGATTCTGTTTTTATTCACTTTATGAGATTTGTGGTGTGTGTATATATACTTATGTACATATATTAAGTGCATCTTATATGTTTATATATATTTGGTAAAACACGCACTATTATCAGTCATTAGGACTGTTTTTTTCACCATCACTATAGGAGTTTTTTTGTGTGTTTATTAGCACGAGGTTATTGAATAGATATGTTTATTCACTTATAATTGAGGGGATATATATATTTTTTCACATTGTTGTATTTTGATTTGCTAGTGATTAGCGCCACATTTTTCTCACATTTTAGCTTTAAAGATCATTAGATATATGATTTAATGTTGGCAGCTTCTCACATTTAATTATTAATATCATTTAATATTATTGTGAGCGCAGGAGGTTCACACCACTTTTCCTATACTAGACCTGAGATTGAAATGGGAAAAATTACTAACAGAAACTATCCAAATCCCCCCACAGTTCTTTTATACCTAGCAATAACCACCTGACCAAGGTTTTACCACTTCCCTTCTCTATCCAGAGCTAACAAACAAAATGTATTATCTAGAATTCAAATTTAGAAAGTGACATACATATCAGTTTTCTGATGAACTGACCTTAAAAAGAAACCCAAATCCCATCATCAGGTAGGAAGGAGGGAGAAAATTCTTCTTTCCTAAAAAAAAAAAAATAAATAAAAATATTAATAATTAACTTCACGTGATAAATACAGCTGGTCCTTCTAGGTTTCTGCATTGGTGCCTTTCAAAACACATGTAGAGACCCCTACATAAGAATGGAAAAGACACAGTCAGCACTGATGTCTGAACACAATATGGTGGCTGATAAAGATGATTCCCGTTTCTCCTTACCTCTGATCATAAAGCTTCCAGTTGTCAGGTACTCTCCAGTCGGTGCGGTTTTGGACACCTAAAAGCAAGGAAAACAATGGTAATACAGGGAGAGGTGCACTTTGACAAACTAAGACCTTTTTTTTCAGTTTAGAGTAGGGACAGGTTAAAATCCATCAGGTGATAACGGTTACTAGGACAAGTAGAGATGATCCCCAGAGGCAACACATACAGCAACAGGAACCTAACAAAAATGTATTAAAGCCTTACTACTCAATCCAAAACAATGCTAACTTCCAAGTCACACTGTTATGGCATGGCTGAAAGGGGGAGGAATAACTACTTTGAGAAATGTAGGGTGGGTACACATATGCAGCCTTAAGCCTGGGTACACACTATGAGAATATCACACAAATGATTGGCTTTTTTTTTTTTTTTTTTTTTTTAGCATGCTAGTCTCCTATCGAAAATGAAGAGGTTACTAGAGTTAGTGGTAACTAACTAGAGGTTAGTTAGTTAGCGGTAGTTTTCGTCCAATTTTATGATCGTGTGTACTAGGCTTTATACAGTGCCTTGAAAAAGTATTCATACCCCTCGAAATTTTCAATATTTTGTCATGTTACAACCAAAAATGTAAGTGTATTTTACTGGGATTTTATGTGATAGACCAATGCAAAGTGGCACATAATTGTGAAGTGGAGGGAAAATAAATGGTTTTCAAAATGTTTTTACAAATAAATATCTGAAAAGTGTAGTGTGCATCCCAATTGCGAATTTGTGGCAAGACTTGAAAATTGCTGTACAGACGCTCTCCATCCAATCTGACAAGAGTTTTGCAAAGAAGAATGGGCAAAAATGTTCCTCTCTAAATGTGCAAAGCTGGTAGAGACATCCCCAAAAAGACTTCCAGATGTAATTGCAGCGAAGGGGGGTCCTACAAAGTATTGACTCTGGGGGGGCTGAATACAAATGCACGCTACACTTTTCACATATTTATTTGTAAAAAATTTTGAAACCATTTATCATTTTCCCTACACGGCACAATTAAGTGCCACTCTGTGTTGTTTCATCACATAGAATCCCAATAAAATACATTCACGTTTTTGGTTGTAACATGACAAAATGTGGAAAATTTCAAGGGGTATGAATACTTTTTCAAGGCACTGTAAATGTAAGCAAAACAACAGTTGTGCAAAGTATCTAAACAATGCCTTCTCCCGACGCTCACTGCAATCTCACCCACACATGCTGAGGTTACACATCATAGAATTACCTGGCAAGGGGCTGCAATCCCACACTGAGGGACTGTGAAAAGCCTGATTATTATGACTGAGTGGAAAATGTATAATTCAGAGTATAATTAAAGAAAACGGTCAGGATAGAAATATGGGCATTGCCATTGCAGATGGTCAAAAACCCTCTCTCTGTTAAGACAACTTGTGCTAAAGGGGTATTTTCCTTCTAAAGCCAAGGAGTTAAAAGAAGGCCTGACATAGCATATTACCTGATTGTGATGAACCCACCAGGCACTGGTAATAACTCGGGCATCCCAAGCAGCACTATAGCAAACTGCCATGGTGCCAGCCTCTGTGAGAGTACGAGGTGGTATTGGATCACCTATAAGAGCAGGATAAATAAGGCAAGGAAATTAAGTATTCTCATGGTTGCATTGCATTCATAAATTTATTACAACAATTGTAAACCTCTGATATGAAATATAAACAAAAAATATCCTTCTAGAGTGTGTCTCAATCCAAAGCACCAAGTACTATTTCTGTCTACTGTCTTGTTCCTCTGCTATCTGCCTGAGTCACTTCTGGTGACAGGGGAGGGAGCTCAAGCACACAAGATGTGATTGACAGCCTCAACACTGTTCCTGTGTGTGGGGGGGTGTCCCTTCTCTCCAATCAGCTCTCAGAGCTCTCCACACACTGAGATCTGCAGTGTAACCTCAACTCTAACAAGCTGTATACATTCTTCACTTTGAATGGCTGTAGAAAAGAGGAGACTGCAGATAAACAGCTATAACAGGAAGATTTGTTTCATCTCTGTGTATCACCTGAGGCTAGGCATTTTAATGGGTATATGGAAGAGCTTACAACCATTTTTAATGGTCAATCAGATCAGCGATGCACATTTAATGGCAAGTTTTATTGGCATTTTTTCATTTTATTTCATGAATCCCCTCTGCCCTCTTATTGTATGGGGGGAATAAGGCAATACTGGAATCAGGAACTGCATTTGACTTTATAACAGTTCAGTGATGATGACAGCAAGAGTTGCTCATTGATATGTTGTAGTGCATACATGTCAGACTGCTGTATGGACAGATGCTTACACACAAAGCAGCATTACTTCTGTCCAGTACATATACCGCCATTTGTAGACGCTATAACGTTCACGTATACCAATTGAGTTACACGTATTGGGATTTTTTTTTTTAGCAAAGACATGTAGCAGATAAAATTTTGCCTTAAATTTATGACGAAATTTGATTTTTTTAAATTTTTTTACTGTATATGTTTTATAGCAAAAAGTTTTTTTTCAAAATTGTCATTTTTTTTTGTTTGTTTATAATGCAAAAAATAAAACCACAGTTGATCAAATACCACCGAAAGAAAGCTCCATTTTTGGGAAAAAAAAAAGGACATAAAATGTAATTTGGGTGCAGCGTTGCATGACCACACAATTGTCAGTTAAAGTAATGCAGCGCTGTATCACAAAAAAATGGCCTGGTGAGGAAGGGGGGGAAATCCTCTGAAGGGCAAGTGGTTAAGATAACACAGGAATTGTACACACGGGATAACTCTGATTTTCTGGCAGGATCAATTTTTGTTTTGTACTGAATGAACAGGAATATAAAAATGCTTTCATTGGTATTATTACCTGACCAGCAAATATGATAAACTCATGATAAGGGTTTACATACACTTTAAAAGCATCTGCCCTAACTTTAAATTAGCTTCAACTGGTCTTCATTGTAAGCTCCAAGGAGCAGGGCCTCTTGTATTGAACTGTATTGTCTCCCTTTATATTGTAAAGCGCTGAGCAAACTGTTGGCTCTATATAAATCCTGTATAATAATAATTATACCAAATACAATAATGTTTTTTTTTATTTTTATTCTGCCTGCAGTTCAGCTTTAACTAACCCATCCAGGAGGGAGATAATTACCTGTAGAGTTCTTAATGACACAGCTGGTCGCTCCGTGCAGGTCTGCATGAACATAGATGTCCCCTGTTCATAGAGAAGAAAAGAAGGTCATGTACAGTATAGTGTAACGCACCAACAGTATTGCATGCTTTCAATGTATTTACCAATCTCTATGGCCTCAATTTTTATTTTATAAGTTTATGTAGTCTGGATGGAGACAAAGGGGTGGAGCCTCTAAGAAGGGCATAGCCATTCACTTGGAGCAGATTAGTGAAGCCTGCACACGGGTAATGTGGACTGCACAAGTCTTGCCTGTTTAAGGCTCTTCTTCACCAGGATGGCTTTCAGGAAGAAGAGACAACACCAGTCCACAGTGTACGAAGCACAAGATGGCAGTATGTCTGTGAAAGTTCTTACTTATCCAGGCCATGGTATAGCTAGCAGAAGTGATTTAGAATAAACTGAACTTTGTTGTTCATCCGAACAGCTTCTCCAGTTCTAATTTGTGTCATAAACATTCCTGCAAATGGCAAAGAAATGTGAACATTGATGTTCCTGACACTCTTCAGAATTGAAGAAGTAGTTTGGATGGCCAGTGAAATATCCATATTATAGAATATTTCAATTAAACTGCTACTACTACAGCACTGACTCTGGAAAGAAGTATAAGGAAAGACCTATTATTTCAGGTTATGAAATAGATAGGTATTTATACATTTATAATACCAACACGCTAGCAGGATCAACACAGAAGACCTCTTCAAGAATGCAGGGACTAAAACCAAAAATAGATTACAGAAAACTAAAAGTGAGACCTGGGATGTATATCAATGTTTATTTCATCAATCTCCTACTATTCAATGAGCAGACAAGAGATTTAAGCCACTTACCTGGACGCAAATACCTCTTGACAATCATCTCATTCTGTTGCTGATCTCGCCCAGCTATTATTAGGTAGTTCTCCGAGCTTATGAACCATAAAAACTTCTCAAACCTAAAAAAAGATCAAAGCAGTACTGCATAGAAAATGGAAATCTACTTTCATAATAATACAGTGGCCTACAGTAGGTGGCAAGGAGCAACTTGTGTCAGTCTTTAACCATTTCCAGCCCGGACACTTTTACCCCCTTCCTATCCAGGCCAATTTTCAGTTTTCAGCGCTATCACACTTTGAATGACAATTGCGCGGTCATGCAACACTGTACCCATATGCATTTTTTAGCATTTTTTTGAAACAGATAAAGTTTTATTTTGGTGGTATTTATTCACCACTGGGATTTTTATTTTTTTTTGCTATATAAATGAAAAAGTCCAAAAATTTTGAAAAAAAAAAGTGTTTTTCTTACAAAATTTTGCAAATAAATAGTATTTTGTCATACATCTTGGCCAAAATTTTTTCCGTTATCTTTTTAGTAAAAAAAAAAAAAAAAAAAAAAAAAACAAAACAAAAAAAAAAAACCCACAAAATTAGTTTATAACCAAAAATTATAATTTTTAAACATTTTTGTTTACTTTTTTTTATCATTTTGTTTTTTTTTTTTTACATACGGTCACCCTAGCAGCACAGTGTCACCATGGTGACACTGTACTACTTGTGGAGGGTGATGAAGATTTTTTTTTTACACTGATTGCTTTTACACCCATAAAGGCTGTAAAAGCAATCATTTCTCCTTCTCTCTAGCTGCATTCTTGCAGCCATTAAAAACTACTGAGTGAGCTGTGATTGGTCACAGCTTGTCACATGGTACAAGTCTGTTGTGAATAGCCTTGTACCATGTGACCTCTGTGATCATTCACAGATTTCACACGTAGTAAGCAATGATGTCACAAGTGACATCTTGCTTACTACTCTGCATGTGATCACTGATTGGCCAATCGGTGATCACATGATCGGGACCTCGCACAGAGGTCCCATCCGATGATTGGTGTTTCACTGTGTCCGGAGAACACAGCGGGCAATGGATCGCGGTGCTGCACGCTCCCATGGAGCGCACACAAGCAGGGGGCCGAGAAAGCCGTTTATAAACGGCCACCCGACCCTGCACTGCCATCGTCCGGCCGTTTATATACAATGGTCGGACAGGAAGTGGTTAAAGTCCTGATGCCTAACCTGTGGACATTCCTTAATTATTTTGCAGCCCTCAAAGTACCTGCAGTCAATAGTCTGGCGTTTACTCAAGCCAGTGAAAGAAACTGGCTTCTAGTAGTCTGGTTGATTTATTTTTACAATATCTTACTTTTTCATATGCTATCCATCCCTTTTCTCAGTTTATGTTTTACTTAGGATCTTGCTGCAAGAAACATCAAATATGGAAACTTTTAATGGATAAGTTCACCTTTGGGAACATGTTACATGTTTCACCCATTTTTAGGATGTAACATGTTCCCAATGCTGCAGCTATGCGGCCGTCCCCCTCCTTCTGAAAGATAACATGAGGAGAAGTTTCCCCGTACTATCTGTCAGATTTGAAAACAGCAGGGCCGTGCAGGGCTCTGACCACACGGCCGTGTAATTCATTCACGGAATTCCATGAATGAATTGCAAGTCCTGACAGACTTAATGGCTGTAGGCTTGCAGTTTTCAATGAACTACCACGGCGGTGTGGATCGACGTGGTAGTTCATTGAAGCTTCCTGTCAGAATATCTGCTTGGCTGTACATCCCTGTACAGCAAGCAGATATTCTGACAGGTCTGCAGGAGACCTGCATGGCATCAGCGATCTACTGATTGCTGGTGCATGGCTTTCCAGGCTCCTTTGGACAAAAATAATAAATGTACATTTTTTTTACCTGCAAAAAAATGTGCATTTATTATTTTTGCTCAAAAGGTGAACTTAGCATTTAAGATGCCTGTAGGGAGTACAAATGTTGAAGCATTGATTTGTAAAGGGGGTGTAAGAGCACTGATATCTAGCAGTCTCGTGGAAAATGTCCCCTGTCTCCAACAAATCCAATAGCATGTCAGCAGACTAACCATCCCCTGTATGTCTGCAGTCTCTGAACATCTCTTGTATCCTGTCTGCAGTCTCCAGCCATCTCTATTATCAGGTCTGCAGTCTCTAACAATCTCTTTTAGCATATCTGCAGTTTCACAGCTGCCTCACATTCACTGAATACTTTGGCAAAGTCAGGGGTTGCCCCTGAGGCCCCTGTCAGGTGAACGGATTACCACCCTACTGTAAAGTGTTATAATAGTGTGGTCTTATATTTCAGGGTTACAGCAGGTGCTTGTCCTGTAATTCATTAGTATTCCCTGCTATCAGGCTGCAAGGTCTCCATAGAAGCTGTTCTATCTACTGATGCAGCTCAGTGCTGATAGCTGACAGTTTCTCCAGGCTACCAAGGAAGGTAAAACTGCCAATTAACAGTCTTTGTAAAATCAGTTTGGATAAAGAAAGAAAAAATCCAACCAAGGTGTACCACATAAAATACAAAAGATTACAGTGAACTTTGCAAAACACTAGTTGTTTTTTTTGCCGCGTCCTCTCTCAGACAGATTCCTAAATGGAAAGGTTTGCCTTCAGTAAAACCATTTGGCTTTTCTTCATCTACTTCCAGTGCTCTCTAGGGGTCTGTCAGCATTAGGACTGGGGAGCATTATAATGAGGCCAATTATATGGAGGTAAGATATAGATCTCAGGTCTCTAGACATTTTAAACATGTACATGCAGGTGATATGCAATCCTTTTGCTTCTGTGGGATAGAAAGGGTTAAAAATCTCTGTGGTGGTGATTTCCATTTTCACCGCAAGTTGTTAGAGAGGCTTGGTGGATTTGCACCCTAGGTACTAGAAGTCCAGTTGGTATGAATGGGATGTAGATCTCTTTTTAAAATTAGATATATATATTAGACATCCTATGGTCTTATTTATCTTTTTTCCCATCTCTACAGGTATCGTTTTATTGTGAGGATTTAAATTTTGGATCTGCCATTTATTTTACCAAACCTGTATCATTCATTTGGTCCTTGTTCATACTGTTTTAATTATGTGATTGTGGTAATTGTTCAGACCCATCCTCTTTTTGATGGAGTTTTGTGTATGCACATATTTTATATATATCTATCTATCTATCTATATATATATATATTCTTTTATTAACCACTATGCTGTGATCAAGGCTACTTGCCGAAACGTGTCAGCTTGCCTTTATGTCACTCCTGTATCACTAACAAAGCTTTCAAGAGGATTTTGGAGTTGCCGACTCTTCCTGCTTTTTGTATCCTGTATCCAGCATTTGTAGGACACTTGGGAGCCTGAGCACCCTGGATCCCACTGCTGAATCAGGTGTGTTTCCTGTTTGAGCGCTGCTTCTCTGCTATCACATGGGTCTGGCAGACTATCGGACCTGCATCTGACCCTATTTGAATTTGGTACAGCTACAATCAATACAATCCCTGTTTACTCAAATTATATGTATGAGGATAAGTCTTCTCCAAATAGGAGTGCGTATTTTTGTTCTCTGTTCATTCTAAAGCTCGAAAAAAAAAAAAAAAAAAAAAAAAAAAACAAGAATGAAATATAAAAACTATCTGAAAAAAATCTCGGTGTTTTAATGAAGAGAGCCTCCCTTTAGAAGATGGCAGGTCTTGGGGAGTATTTCAATAAAAGTTAATATCCGTCTGAAGGCGGTGCCTGACATTTTACTTCTGTCTCAGTGTAGACTTCTGAGAAAAGCAATTAGCCAGTTGCACAAGCCGGTGATGACATTTGTGGAGGCTGCCCACAGTTTGACAAACTACAAGCAACTGCTGATAGTAATGGAAATGTAATTTATAACAACATTACAAAACCGTGTTATTAGGAATTGTTATTTTTTTTTTTAAGTGGAGTTTTCCTTTCATTTTCTTTCATGTAATCCTGACTGCCCCTTGGGTATCTATTAGTTTTTGCATGCCTCTTATCAGCTCTGAGCCCAGGCAGCAGACAGGACAGCTTTAAAGCCTGTATTTATTGATTTATGTTGTGTAATATTTCCAGCACTAACACAGGGTGGAAAGCTTAGCCTCACGGTGTGGCACTTCAGTTCCATATTTGCTCTTTCCAATCACAGGCCAATGTAGCTGTAGAAGCCATATAGCAGCCTTTTTTAACTAGGGTGCCTAGGCACCCTGGGGTGCTTCCAGGTTTCTTCAGGTGCCCTGGCAAAATGTCTAAAAATTGGCCAAAAATTTTATACAAACCAGTAGGTGGATCAAGCCTGCCTTTTAGTTACACAAAGCCACAGGTTTTCATTGTACGCCATTACAACTTTCTAGTCGATGACAACATAAAAAAAAAAATCAATGATGTCATCAGTTGATAAGAAAGACATTGGGAACCAGCACAGCATCCTTGCTTGCCCCTCTCCGTCAGCACTGGGGCACATTAGCTAAGAGAGAGACAGAAACCGAGGGAGAAGAGAAACTGGAATACTAGTCAATACCAGTGTGCAAAGGTGTGTTTGCTTTGGAAGAATAAATCAACTCTGATGTTTGTAGGTGTGTGTGTGTGTGTTGAAGACATTGACACACATACTGTTCATTCTTGGACAGGCCAGTGATAAGACCACTTTACACACCAAAAGGACTCCTTACTATATCAATGTATGCACCTTACCTTGGTTGTGTTGGGTTAACCTTTTTTTGGGTAAATATGTGAAGAGTCAGGGGAAGTTTCAGAGTCGGTTATTTTCAAATAGATTGGGAAAAGTCTTAAATATTCATGATGTGCTTGTTTATGGTGAAGAGAACAGATTTGCCATAAACAAGACAAGTAGTACCTATTTAACTTTTTAATTAAAAACTATGCATACAGCTATTCTAGGTCTAGACACATAAGATCAAACATGCTACTAAAAGTTGCCAATCAGAGTGCTTGCCATTGTACGGAATGGGGAAAATGTGTATATTAACTCAGGCCACAGAACAAAGGTAACAGAACACAGGTCAGGATATGTGTGACAGGACACAGGAAGGTTATCTGAAGGGTTCTAAATGATTGCCTATCATCTACCTTGTCTGTACCTCCGCTGGGAAAGAGTTTTTTCCTGTCATTGATATGGGAGCACAGGTATAGATCATAACTCACATTATTCCATGCATGGACGCTACCTAGGTGCATATTATAGATGGCACATATGCTGGACAGTGTAGTATCTCTATGCTTGATATGAAGTATTTTGAATGGGACTTTGAGAGCTGTTGTTCATTGTAATATTTACAAGTATTCAGCTGGATTTCTGTCATCTGTAACAAATATCTTTATCCGAATAAATGCATCTCTCTGGAAAAGAACTATTGGTTGCTGCGAGAAAAATATATATAAATATACACTGGTGATACGTCCTCCATCATTGATATAAGACAACAGATTTGTCTTATGAACTGTTTTTGTGTGGACTTCATAATAAGACAACAATATTTGGTGTCCCACATGTTTAGATGTTGCTGCCTTCTGTAAAAGTATTAGTTTTGTTGTTTACATTTTGGAATGGGTGCCTCAAAACTGTGTAGAATTTTAAAGGGTGCCCCCAAGATTGTGCAGACTTTTACAGGGTGCCTTGACCTAAAAAAAGGTTGAGAAACACTGCCATATAAAGTTTATAAGCTGCCAGCCAAGTGCCCAGACACCATACATCCATATTGCCCTCATACTATTGAGTGGGAATAGGAAAAGCTCTGAGGAACCAGCACCTTGCATCTACTTCCTTACACTTCTGCTCTGACAGGGAGAGAATACAAGTAGTTACCCAAAACTAAGCAGTAAGGAGAGCTAAGGCTGCACTATAAAAATTCAAGCATAATATAAATGCCCCTTTGTGACAAGGTTTAGTAATTTTAAGCATGGCTGATGCTCTGTTCTTTTATGAATTGTAGCAGTAACATAAGTTATTAGCTCACCAATACACCTTCCTGGCTTTCTGAATTGTGGTGACAGTCTGCACCTCCTTCAGTGTCTGTTTGGTTTTCTTTTCTGCAGACTTAAATGCCTGTAATAGATATAAAATATTAAAGAGGCCTTATCGCCAGACCATTCCCTTTATTAAAAATCTTCCTAAATTTTATGTGCATTTACTGTAATTTGTGCATATTTACCTGTAAAAGCCCCTCTTAGGTAAAATGTAGAAAGCCCTAAAAGTATTGCTGGGCACCATTAACTTGGATATGATGTCAGTAGCACCCAGCATGGCTTATAATGATCATTCAAGCGACACATTAAATTATTCCACTTCATGCCTCACCCTGAAGCAACATAAGGTTATGTAGGGAGGTGCGGGGCAGAGGAGCTGGGCCAACAATTTTGCATACGTAGAAGAGGACATTGATGTGCAAGGAAGGAAAGGGCTGTACTAGGGAATTCACTTTTCCCAAAGTATTCCATTTTTTCAGCATATTCAGAGGCACAGCTGCAGCAGGGACAGCTTGTGGGAAAACAAATTGTTGCCCTGCTGCTATATTTCAGATACATTTGAAAAGGTTTTATAACTACTCTGCTGCATTACTGATGGTAGGGCAAAGTATTGCCAATGCATTAATATAATTACCCTTCCTGAAGTTCAGCTTTAAGGGCTCGTTCACACCATACATGCATAAAGAATGATGGAAACTGACGCGCAAATTTCACTTTAAATGGGATTGCTTTGAAAAAAGGCCTGGATTCTTTCTTGGATATACAGAATATAACTGGATACTAACATTAATAGATAAATAACCTCCTTAACTCAACGCTCACAAAAAGTCACACTTTCTCCCTAGAAAGTACCAAATAATAAATATACCTTTTTGTGATAAACCACATAAATTCCCAAAGACAATATAAAAAATAAATCAAAACATAAAGTGTCCAATTCAATTTCAGTCTCAAATGTGTCCAATAAAAAGTCTCAAATGTGTCCAATAAAAAGTCTCAAATGTGTCCAATAAAGCTCAAAATCCAAATTTTGCACTTCAATCCAGTAAGAAGGAATATAATCCTAATTATTCCATGGAAACCTCAAGAAAAAGAAATAATCTATAGTGCATTACCTTTACATAAACATATACATAACAATGCAACAACGGACTTCATCAGATGAAGTCCAGAAGTGACGAAAAGCGTTAGGGGATGTGACGTCAAGACGCACGCACGCTAACCGGAAGTGTCGCTGCGGCCATTTTGTTGGTTGACTACACATGGTTTTCAGCCAAATGTTTGCAGAGTCATTACAGGGCCATTGAGAAAGCTGTGGTGTGAGCTGGAAGTTCCTTATTTTAAATGTAAGTTATGAATAAATTTGTCCCTACACTTTTGAGATCTGTCTGAGAGTCTTCTTGCTTCTATGAGGACTTTGGAGGAGTACCCCTGAAGCGAAGGAATGGGAAGAGTCTGATTCCATAATATAGCCTATGCATATGAATACTCCCAGGAGGGTAATAGTATTTAGTATCACTGTTGGCTGGATCACAGAGTGCACACAATATTGGAGTGATCACGGAGTGCTCACGTTTTGGTTTATATATATTTATATATTATATTTTTTTAAATTTTTTTTTTTTTTTTTTGCACATTTGAAGAGTGGCTTGTGTTTTGCACGGATTGGAGTGTTATCTATATGTTTAAAGGTAATGCACTATAGATTATTTCTTTTTCTTGAGGTTTTCGTGGAATAATTAGGATTATATCCATTCTTACTGGATTGAAGTGCAAAATTTGGATTTTGGGCTTTATTGGACACATTTGAGACTGAAATTGAATTGGACACTTTATGGTTTATTTGACTTATTTTTTATATTGTCTTTGGGAATTTATGTGGTTTATCACAAAAAGGTATTCTTATTGGATACTAACATTTATAGGTAAAGTTAATCCGGGGAACATCCGATTGCCTCTCTGGGCATTAGGAAGGAATTTTTTCCCCTGCAGGAGCAAATAGGATCATGCTTTGCTGGTTTTTTTGTGTTCCTCTGAATCAACTGTGGGTATTATTTTTTTGGTTGAACTGTTAGACTTTTGTCTTTTTTCAGCCAGACTATGTATCTTGCAGAGACATCAGTTTATATGCTCGCTTCAATGAGTTTTAAACACACTGCAGATTCTTGCGCAGAAAAAAAAAATCTGTATGCGATACTAGTGTTGTGATGTGAACAAGGCACATAGAGAACAATTGGTTTCTTTTTGCCCTTGTAGAATTCTTGCAGAAGGACTGACGTCTCTGCACCATGATGCAATGAGCCCTAAAGTAGAACAAAACCCTTCTATCCTTTTCAGCCAAGGAAGCTGCCGTCTTAGTCTTTGTTTGATCTGCAACTGCCATGGTGCTGCACATATGATCAGTTATGACACCAGACATTTAACAGTTTGGTTAAGAATACAAGAAAATGTGAGTTAGGGCTCGTTCACACCACGTGTGCATGAAAACTGATGGAAAATGACATGCAGATTTCACTTGCAGAGAGATCAGTTTACATCACTTTTAACACACACTTCAATGAGTTTGATACACGTTGCAGATTCCTGTGCAGAAAAAATCTGCACATGATACTAGTGTTGTGGTGTGAACAGGGCACATAGAGAAAAACTGATTTTGTTGTGCCCTTGCAGAACATGTGCAGAAAAACGTATGCCTCTGCAGACTGGTGTGAATGAGCACTTAGGCCGCTTGAAGAAAAACTGACGGAAACTGACGTGTATATTTCACTTGCAGAGACATCAGTTTTCATGCACACTTCAAATCGATTTTATACAAGTTGCAGATTCCTGCGAAGAAAAAAAAAATCTACGCGTGACACTAGTATTGTGGTGTGAACAGGACTCAGAGAACAACTGATTTCATTGTGCCATTGCAGAATGGGTGCAGAAAAAAAACTGATGTCTTTGCACCATGGTGTGAATGTGCCCTTAAATTTAAAAAAATCAGTTATGGATTAAACAAGAGGGGATTTTGGAAATGGACTGTAGAGGTCCTGGCTGAGCGGGTAACCCTTCTAGATACCTTTTCTGCAGCTTCCACTGTCTTCTGAGTTTTCTTTGCAGCATTCCTCTTGTGATCATAGTACCTAAAAACACAGACAAAATATCATAATTACAGGCCCACCTCACACATGGGTCCAAGAGCTGTCCAGAGAGTTTAAAGTGTATCTAAACCATAGAAAAAAAATGTAGGATATTGCAGCTTACTAGTCATTAGATGTGGTGGCTGAATTTGTTTCCCAATTTGAATGGGGGGGGGGGGTGCCAAATTTTACTCTTGCCTAGGGCAGCCAGTAACACATATTGTCCCAGGGTGAGAACACTCATTCACTGTACTATATTTATGGAGGAGCAGTGTTGTCACATTAGAAGAGGAGGTGTAATCAGAATACAGGACAGCTCCCCTCTTATCTTCTCCTTTACATTTTTATTCTTGGGTTAGATATACTAGTAAACCTTTCCTGAAATGTCTGGGCTCCCTTTAAGATGCAGGTTACCTGGCTGTCTGCAACTTCAGTGCTTTCTGAATTACTGATCCAGACCAAGCATGCAAGTCTCAAAGCGAAGTAAAAACTCTTGCTGCTAAAACTTGTATTAGGTCAGAGAATTAAGGGTACTGAGGTCATAACCAAGTTGCTAGTATTTTCAAAAGAAAAGATCAGCAGTGGCTGCATACATATTTAAGCAACAATATCTTTGAACGGACCAATAAAAGTAAGTCAAAGCGTGACTTTAGATCTACATGACTGCTTCTCAGCTATGTATATAAAGCACAATTCTACCGGGAATAATTAGGTATGTATGGAACATTGCAATGCAGTCTGTTTTTCAACTAGAGCAGCTTTAAGGCTAAAGTTGTCTGAGGAATGGTTATCATAAGTACCAATCTATAGGATTACTGGAGAAAAAGGAAAATATCACTCCAGCATTTCCAGCTAATAAACATTAAAGTGGTTGTAAAAGATATTTTTGTATTAAAATAACCACACATGTTATACCTTACCTGCTCTGTGCAGTTGTATTGCACAGAGTGACCCAAACCTCATCTTCCGGTGTCCCCCACCAGTGCTCTCGGTTCTTCCTTTTTGTCTGTGCACCACCATAGGGAGCAAATTCCTACAGGGGCACACTTGTGCGCTGTCTCCTGAGCCAGGCTGTGTGTGTCTATCTATAGACACACACAGTGTAGAAAGGCCCTACCCACCCCTCACAGGATTTAACTGGCATATGACAATGGCTTCTGCTGCCATCTCTGTGCCGGTAAGGACCAAGAGATTGGTCCAGTGCTGCTGCAGCTGGACACAGTGCTGAATCAATACAGGACTCAGGTAAGTATTTAGGAAGGTGAGGGGAAGATACATCTACTGGGACATTTTTTTTATTTACCTTAATGCAGGGAATGCATTAAGATAAAAAAATGTGTTGCCTTTAGAGCCACTTTATCAGAATATATTATATTTTGGATTCTTATTTGAAGCTGAGCTCCAAGCTCCCCCCACAAGAGTGCCAGGAGTTCAACCGTGTAATACCTCTTGTTGGCCTTGCGATTTATATGGAATGTAGAAAGACCATGCAACTCACTTTTTGGCATTGGCATATGCTGAGAGGCTGAGGTCCACATCTACAAGAACTGGTTTGTTTTTCTGTGTTTTCTTTGGCTGTTGCTTATTTTTACCCTTTTTCTTCTTTCCTTTTGGCTCTTCTGACTCTGGTTTTTCCTCTTCATCTTCACCTTCCTCGTCAGAAAGTATGTAGGGGTTTCTGGAAGGAGATTACAGTCAGTCAGATGGGCTGGGAAGAGTCTTGCTATATGTTCTTCGGAATCCAGTCTTCCTGTAGCTCCCTCTTCCAGGCTGACTGACATTCCACATAGGCTGCTATGGGTCAGACACTTTTCCCAGGTAAGGGGATCCGCAGACAGACGTGGAAAGAAGAGCAGCAGAATGTGTTAACAGAGGACTTTTCACCCACCCAACCTAGCACTGCAAAGTAATATCCCCAATAAAAAAAAAAAAAAAATCTCCAGGCACATGCTACATTTAACACCACCCTTTCATGTATGTATGAAAGGGTGCTCAAAGGACATGTAAAATTGTTTTGTACATGTCTTCTTACTTTATTATGATTAGAACAAAAATAATACGTATTTTATTAATTATTGCCAACAGGTTGAGTTCTAGGCTTCTTAACATATTAAGAGCCCTTTCACACTACAGCGCATAAAAACGCATAGCGTGGTTTTAATACATTGTGTTTTTAATGCACTTTTAAAGTGTTTTTGATGTGTTTTCTGGATTTATTACATTACTGACTCCCTGCATGCAATTGTTTATCCTGAATATGTCAGAAAAAAATGTAACAGTGCATCTTTGATGTGTTTTTAATGCATTACCATTAATTTCTATGAAAGGTGCATTTTTTGCGCACTTTTTACAGAGTGCACAAAAAAATGCTGCATGCAGGACATTTTAAAACACAACACATACGCAGCGCACAGATGTGAACAGGTACCTAGGATTTCAAGGGGAATACTTTTTATGCATGGGATATTATGCTGGAAAGGTGCATTCTAGTGTGGCACAAATGTATAGGTGTGATAGGGCCCTAAAGCTCAATTAGCACTCACAGCTGAATCATTTAAAATAAATGCTTATAACTTTGAACACAAAAATAACACTGTATACTTGCTCATAGACGCAGACTGACTGACCTCATAAGTATACTTGCTCATAGAAGCAGACTGATTGACCTCATCAGTGTGGTCATGTGCCTTTGCTGCTCAATCAGCAAACTGGGAATGGGATGGGGACTAAGCTGTACTGCTTAACTGCAGTGGAGAAATTTGGGGTCACTGACCCATGTATTCTGTATGGCAGGCCTTGAAATTTCCACTTGCCTGCTCGCCAATGGCGAGTGGAAATTATGGTGGGGAGAGTGTGTCCCCAAGGCCGTCTTGCTGAGCAGGCTCGGAACTCAGGGCCGGATCTGTCACTTACACTGGGAGCCGTCACACTGCTCAATAGCTTAGCGCAGTGAAAGCAAAGGAAGAAGTGTGTTGTGTGCGCTCTGCCTCCCCCTAGAGTGCAGTAACCGGCTCTGTGAGTGAACAATGAAGTACTGCAACTTTTTATAGGGCTATAAATAGTGTGTAAACTTTTATAGTGTGTATCTGTACATGTGTTTGTGTGTATGTATATGTGTGTGTGTACATGTGTGTGTGCTTGTATGTATGTACCTACATGTGTATGTATGTACATGTGTGTGCATGTGTATTTCTGTGTATGTACATGTTTCTGTGTGTATGTACAGGTATGCGTGTCTGTGTGTGTATACATGTGTCTCTGTGTGTGTGTACATGTTTCTGTGTGTGTGTGTATGAGCATACATGTCAGTGTGTGTGTACAGGTGTCTCTGTTTGTGTGTGTGTGTATGTACATGTGTCTGTATGTAAACCTACATGTATGGGTGGTTTGGTCAGTTTCAGGATTATGTGGTTATTATGGGTGGTAGAGTATGGGGCACTTGAGGTACTGCTGGGCTGGATAGCAGGTAAGATATGCTTGGTAGAGTTATGGTTTTGTGAGTGAAAGATTATGGGGGGTTATGGTTGTATGCGGTGCATGGTCTAAGTATGATGGAGTGTTTAGGGGGATATTGGAGGCCCTGATGTAATGTGGGGGGACTCTGGGGACCCTGATGTAATGTGGGTAACATTTAACAGTGTCATTTCATGAATTACGAGAGCATGTTTAGAGGGCATTAGGGGTGTAGCAGGGTAGGGGTTGGGTGGGGCAACTGGTGGCAAGTAACTCTTAAGGCCTGGCTAGTAGCTCAGGACTTGAAATTTTAAGCCCTGCTGTATGGCACACATGTGATTTACAAAATTGGCCAGGTCATTACTGAGTACCGATTACGGACTGCACTCTGGTGCCTACTGAACTGCAAAGCCATGTTCAGACATCCTGCACAACTGGTGTAACAGGAACAAAGAGATAAAACTATGGAAATGGGCATGGTTAGTATAATGTCCAGCCAATTGCTTGTCTGTTTCTGTGAAATTAATTGAGCTTTGGAACACTCGTTGTCAGGATATAGATCTGCTGCTCTTTTGGGGCATGTGCTGTTGGACTTTTGTTAGCTTGAAATGGGTTTTGCACTTCCATTCAAATATACTGTATGGAAATGCCAACCTGCATGATCATCTTAATAATCTTAGAAAAGTCTCAAACTGATGCTATCGACACAATCCCAAAACCCATCGACACTGGCTGTTAGTGTACCATTTTGGGATACAGATGTCATGTGTGCAGCTGACACTTACTTTAGCAGCATGGTAATATGATTAGTCTGCAGCTTCAGCTCTTTGATGGCAAGAGCAACAGGGTCTCCCTGTACTTGTGCCTCCTTCACGATCTGCCCAATCTCCGTCCAGTCTATTTGATTGGCCAGGGCACTGCGCACAACCTGCACCGCTCGATCAACAATGTCCAAGTTCATTTCAATCAGCTCTCCTTTGGACTTGTCAATTTCCTATTTGGAAGAGATATTAAATGGTTGGTAAAGGCCAATATATTTTATTACACTCTGTAATGTGCTTTTTACAATATAAAGTCTAATAACAAAAGGATAAACTGCTCATGGACAGACAGAGCTTTCATCAGTTTCACTAACAGGCGATACATTTGTATCTGTGAAACAGCTAAATCCTTAATGCATGCAATTATTAGTTATAAAGGTTTCTCACCAGGATCATCATGAAAATCAGTGTTAATAGAACAGGTTTAAATGGAATATAAAAGTGTCACACTTCTTTCTATAGCTAGATTTAGCATGGGACCTAAGCATTCCCAACCACTGGGGACCTTCCACAATGGCTCTAATTACACTGCCATCCCCACAACTTCTCACATTTTGAACTATATGGCCAAATATTTGTGGACATCTCACCATCACAGCTACTGTATGACCACAGTATGTAGACATCCCTCCAAATAATTGAGTTCCATTGAAAGGTTCCATTAATACTACAGCATATATAGACATTTTAGACTATTGTGCCCTTCCAACCTTGTGAGAACAGGTTGGGGAAGGCTCTTGTCTCTTCTACTATGACTGTGCCCCTGTGCACAAAGCCAGCTCCATAAAGATGTGGTTTGACAAGTTTGATGTAAAGGAACTCTAGGGTCTTGCACACAGCCCTAACCTTAGCCCTTCTGAACACTTTCGGGATGAATTGGAATACTGAGTGCCAGCCAGGTCTTCTAGTCCAACAATGGAATTCAGCCTCACAAATGCCCAAAGACACACTCCAAAATCCTGTGGAAAGCCTTCCCAGAAGATAGCAGGCTGTTATCACAGTAAAGGGGGGGGGGGGGGGTTAATGTAATATTAATGCACATGATTTTGGAATGGGATGGCTAACACGCTAATATAGGTGTGATAGTCAGGTGTCCATAAACCTTTGGCCTGCTCTTTGTCCCTCTCTACATTTTAGTAAAGCTCAAAAGTTGGGTGACCCCACAGATAATCTATATAGGGCCACGAATGTCCCCATATCTGGATACAATGTTCACTTTGGGGGAAGCTGTATTTCACTCAGACACAGTGCTTCTCAAAACATGGAGGGACTTTATCTTTTGTGACAATGCTTGGAGAAAACTCTTTTCTGGCTATCCTAACACCAACCACCCTTTTTTATACAGGTTTGGATAGAACAGGGAAGAATTTACATTCCAGTAAGTTTTCTGAACCTACTGAAGTGATTTTCCCCCGATTCCTTTCTTTATAACGTGTGTAAAAATAAAATGGGAGAGAGGCTGTCATCAGAATTGGGAGGATAGAAAGCAATAAAAATACATCCAGAGGTTCTAACTCTTCCCCACTCTACAAAAAATGTGTTTCATCATAGTTGAAGAGCATTTCCATTATTTTCTGTCCTGACAGGAAGTGGAAATCTTTATGACAGAGACACAGAAGGCAACAGATAACTTTACTGCGGCTGTTCCAGATCAGCTTTAAAAAGCGGTGGATATGCACAGAGGTATCCAAGATTAAGCCCCGCGGGCAGGGTGAAACGCATTGGGAGTGTGGCTTTGGATGAAGCTTGCTGAGGCTGCTTTCACCTGTTTACTAATGGCTTTTCTAGATGTGCAACGTTTGGGACCTTTCTCTATGCATATCCACAGTATGTGAGTTAGAAGGACTCCTGCACAACCAGCACCCATTGCAGGAATCACCGGATGGACTTACAGGAGCTTGAGTGGAGACCTTATGTTTTATGAGGTTACAGTTAAGAAAAAGGTGTTGCAGAATCAGATCAGCAATGATGACCTTCCCTAAATGAATTGCTGCTTTTCCTTCCATATGTGGAGCCATGTGCATTACTCTTCAGTGATGTACAAGAGCGCCAGTTAGTAACTACACTTACCTGAGTATGCTGCAGTGTCTCCAGGCGCTGCTCATGGTCTTTTCGGACATTTTCTAACTTTTTAAGAGCTTGTTTTTCCTGTAAGCATCAGATAAATCCTTGTGTCAGTATTTTCCAAAATGAGTATATAGTCATTAGATGAGAAAATATAAATATGAACATTATAGATGAACTCCAGGTAGATACAACAGGCACACAGTAATGCACCTCTTTAATTAGTATACTGTTAATTTTTTTTTATGTAGGTACCTACTATTTAGTTGGCATTAACCTGTTACAACCCCAGACAGCCAAGATCAGACTGAGAGAGGGAAAAGTCAGTCAGTTCATTGCAGATAGCATGCAGATAGAAAGAAAAAGCAGAGTGACAGAGATACGCTTATCAGTCTGCTGATTCTCCTTTCACTGCCTACTAACAGGCTGGGAGAAGGAGTGTTACTTAACTACAACTGAGACACAGGGCCGCTGTTGGATATCATGGGGTCCCGTACAGTCTAATGATAACACTGATATCAATAAATGATTATACTGGGGGTCACTAGTAATGTTGCAGTGACTGCTAATACTGAGGTTACTGCCTATCCTGGGGGCCCCTCAGATTCTGGGGTCACTAATAATACTGAGGTCACTGCCAATACTAGGGTCACAGATGACCGTGAGATCAATAAATGAGAATACTGGGGTCAAAGCTAACTCTGGAGTCAGAGATAATTTTGGTGTTACTAATAATAGGGTGACACACAAATCTACCTCTCCACCCCTCGCCTCACCCCCTCAGTCTCCGCCCGTATCACCCACCTACTTAACGACATTTCAGACTGGATGTCGCTCCACTTCCTCAAATTAAACCTTTTCAAAACCTAGCTCCTAATTTTCCCCCAAGCCCGCGCCCCCACCCCCCCACCATCACCATCACGACCAAAAACGCCACCATCAGTCCCACCCTGCAAGCCAAAGTCCTAGGTGTCACTCTAGACTCAAACCTGTCCTTCCAACCCCATGTCCAATCGCTGGCAAACTCATGCAGGCTCCACCTCCGCAACATCTCCAAAATACGCTCGTTCCTAACCCCAGACACTACTAAACAACTCATTCACTCCCTTATTATCTCACGACTCGACTATTGCAACTCCCTCCTCACCGGCCTACCTCATCACAGACTATCCCCACTTCAGTCTATCCTGAACTCAGCAGCCAGACTCATCCACCTTACCAACCGCTCCGCATCCGCCACCCCCCTCTGTCATTCCCTCCATTGGTTTCCGATTGCCCAACGCATTAAATTCAAACTACTAACATTGACGTACAAAGCCATTCATAATACTGCCTCAAACTACATCACCGACCTGATATCCAAATACCATCCAACCCTCACTGTTCGCTCTTCACAAGACCTCCTACTTTCTAGCTCCCTGGTCTCCTCCTCCCATGCCCGACTGCAGGACTTCTCCAGGATTTCCCCCATCCTCTGGAACTCACTACCCCAATCCATCAAACTGTCACCTACCCTTCTCACCTTCAGGTGCACCCTGAAAACCCATCTCTTCAGGGAAGCCTACCCCGCCCTCACCTACAGCCAATCTCCTCCACTCCTCCTACCACTCCATCCCGCACAGCCACTTCCTCCTGTGCCACCATCCCCTCCCTCCTAGATTGTAAGCTCGAAAAGAGCAGGGCCTTCGAAACCCCTCGTATACTGTTTTGTTACTGTATTGTCTCATGTACTGTCCCCCACTACTCTGTACAGCGCTGAGCAAACTTTTTGGCGCTATATAAATACTGTACAATAATAATAGGGTGACTAATCATAATGAAGTCACAACTAATACTGGGGATCCTGCAAATTTTGGGGTCACTAATATTAATGAGGTGACTGACAATACTGGGATCAATGAATTTTAACACTGGGCTCACTGCCAAATGTGAGGTCACCAACATAAGCGAGATATGAATGAATGCTACCACTGGGATCATCAATCGCCCAATATCAGACCCATGTGTAGTAATCTATAGATTGGGATCAGGGTTGATCATCCAATAAAAGCCACATCATTCAGTGACCGATCTCTGGTCCATGCCTTATGCCCCCCATCTCCCTCTGGCACCTTCGGGCCAAGTCCCTCAGGACCACCCCTGGTCAGTATCTTTGTGCTGGATGTTCCTCTTACAGTCCTAGGCCATCTCCCGGCCATCAGGGTTTTGGCTGGTGTCCGGATCTGACAGCTGCTGCGCTCCTTGTGCTGACAACAAAACTCCCAGCCTCACAAAGACATGACATGCCGGACATGGCTGAGCCACCGGAGACAACCTGCCATAGAATGCTTACGGCAGCTCAGCCAACTTTTGCAGGCACTCTGTATAGATCGCATTGCCAGCCCTCCCACCTGTTGGCCGGGCTCCCCACTGCTCTAATGAGAACTTCTCATTCCTGATGTTCTTCCTTCTCCCTGGGACCAGCTTTCCTCCCGCTTACTGTGCTGTTGGTCAGGTGTGCAGGAGTTTCCTCTACACAGGCAAAGGTGCATTTTAGCACCCCCCCCCCCATCCCGACACCCTAAGGTGGCTGCCTAAGCTGCCTTATGCTGGCATCAGCCCTAGGTTTGAGTGAAGAAGCAAAGTTGTATAGACTACAGGAAAAATAGGTCCCCCAAAGGGTTTCAGTCTGGTGAAGGAGAAGCCCAGCTACATATAAATCATAAAGATGTGCTGAGAGAAAATAAAAGCTACAGGAACGGAAAACAGCTGATTGGCTGTGACAGTGTCAGGGAGGCAGAGGACCTGGGAGAGAACAGGGAAGATATATAGGCTGGGCAGACAGGAGACAGAATAGATGGGCCAGAAGGAGGGATACATTGGTGAAGGACTGCAGGGAGGCATAGGGCACAATGAGAGATCAGAGAGAAACATCAGAGAGTGATTGCAGAGGTGGGGGATGGGGCAATAACAGATAGGCAGGTGAGAGTGAGTATGGCAAGCATCTGGAAGGAGGAAGGGGAGGGAAACAAAGTTACAAATCAGATGTAAACAGAAGGAAACATGAACGAGTCAAACTAGTGGAGCAGAGTAGAAGCACAGCTAACATTCAGAGCACTGAGCCACTCTGTGGTAGAATGACAGGAGGCTGTATAATGGAATGTAGTTTAGAGGCTACAGATTGGCTTGTCAGTTGCCTGGGCCCCCCCTCGCCTGTGCCCCATACAGGAGGGCCGGTAGTAGCCCCTTATCAGCGGCCCTGCTGAGAAATATCAAGTCACCTGCCCTGCCAAGTTGTGCTGTGCTGTGTGGCAGAGCGGTGTAAATCTAAGAAACTGGTTAAGCAGAAATACAAATCCTTTGGCATGTAAAAGAGCTCTCCTATATGTATTTTTTTTCTATGTATTTAGCTGTCTGCCTGGGGTTCCACTTTAAAGTGCATGCCTTAGGGGCAAATCCTGACGTTCCACTATAATGCTGCATGCACACTAGAAAAGCTAAAAACTGCTTTAGAAACAATGGACAAAAAAACACTAAATGTTTTAACTTTTTTTCCTGGCATTGAGCAGTATTTAGCCTATTGTGTAAGCTATGTTTAGTAGGTTCAACGTTAAGGTGCGGGGCTGCCCCTTTCCTGTCATGCCAGGCTGCATGCTCCAATAAGGGTCTGGTATGGATTGTGGGGGGGACCCCTTGCCGTATTTTTATTTTTGGAATGGGATTCAACTTAAAATCCATACCAGACCCAAATGGCGTGGTATGGATTGGGGGGACCCCCCCCGCCATTTTTTTCACAATTCTTTATTGCCAGTAAAGTTTTTTTTTTTTTTTTTTTTTTTTTTAAATATAGCTGTCGGCGGGGAATCCCGCTGACAGCTGATGACTAATCTGTTGTTAAGGACACGGCAGCTGGCTTCCCACCACCAGTTAAAAAAAAAACTCAAGTTCCCATCGTTTTGCAGAGTTTAGGAGCAGTCATTGTTTTTTTTTTTTGCCACTAAAAAGCGGCTGTGACTTTTTAGCTCCTTTTAGCCAAAAATAGTATCCAGCACAGAGCAATGGACTACATAGCAATATGAAAAGAAAAGTCATATCTCCCACCATTTACTGGCTATTTAAAAAGAATATTATGCATCAATAAAATAAGTAGCACAGATACAAACCAGATGAAGAGCTTTGATATCAATTTTTTGACCTTCCATCTTGGAGTAAAATTCATCAACAGCCTTTAAGGGAAGAAGAGAAGTCAGATTAATGTTTTTCTACTTAAATCTGAACTTTAGGCAGCAAGATCTCTATATGCGAGCCTCTGACTCCACCTAGCAGCACTATCCTATTCTCCAAGCTAGATTAAACTGAACCATGTCCATCCAGAAAATTCAATATAATGCAGCCAAACTATTCCTTTTGAAAAAATCCCGTGTTAACTATTTACCTATTACTGGCTTACACTTTCCATTAAAGCCTTGAACTGTCACTTTTAATAATCCTAATGCATTGCCTTTGCATGAAAAAAAAAAAAAATAAATGTGCAAAATATATATTTTTTTCTTTAAAAAGCTGCCACAATTCTGAGTAGAAAAGCCTGTGCCTTGCCAGGGGGCTGCAGAGAAGAGAAGAACCTTTGCTCTCTGTGTGGAAGCAGTGGTCTCTCTGCTGAGGTCTGACATGCTACCTACTGATATACTCTGCAATCAGTACAGTAAAGCTCATGCTCTTCAGTGATTGGGGAGCTCAAACTATGATCAAGCAGGAGACATGTCAGACCACTACTTCCACAACAGACAGCAATTGTACTCCTCTGCATGCTGGCAGGGAGCTTGTAACATATGTGGTTACAATCCCTTTTGTTTGCGAACATACCTTATCAAAAGAATCAACTCCACGTGTGGACTGTTGATATGCTGGGCAAAAAGAAATGGATGGAATTCTTCATATCTATAGAACACAACAATTGAGGATAAATAAAATGATCAGGAGAATAAAGAACAAGTCGAGTATTAAAATGAAATTAACTGCAATCAAAAAATGTCTGCTCACGTTTAGAATGTCTTCAGATGGCTTATCTGCCTCCAAGCTTGGCTTCTTCTCCCTCTTCTGGATTATGTAGCCCTGTGGGAGATGCAGAAATTTAATACTGACCAAACTCCACACATAAAATACTACTGAAATGTTACTATACAGCCTCAGCCGCTACCAAGCTCCCCAAAAGGCAGTATCTTGGACAAACAACCCCATTTTCTTATAGTGGGCTCCCTTAATAAATCGGTGCACCTTGCTCTTCAGGTACAAAATCTAAAGATTACATTTGCCACTTCCCTCTTGTATAATGACTGGGAAAAAGCTTTAAAAAAATTACTGCAAGAGAAAAGAAGTTAGGTACACCTTTCCCTGACTTCTGCTATGATGTCAAAACGATGGTGACAACCTCCTCCTTCTAGTGAAATTTGGGGGAATGTAGAGTACTCTAAATCTTGCAGAGAACATGCTCCCAGCATTGTGCTGCAGCATGGTCTGACAACATTTTTATTTATTTCAGGTACTTATATAGCACTGTCAATTTACACAGCGCTTTACATATATATTGTACATTCACATCAGTCCCTAACCCTCAAGAAGCTTACAATTTAAGGTGACTAATTCACATTCATACATACACATACTAGGCACAGGGAGAACATGCAAAATCCAGGCAGGTAGTGTTGTGTTCGGGAATCAAACCGACGGCCCTAGTGCTTTTGGGAGGCAATCACTTAGCCACTATGCTGCCCAACATTTGGAATATTCTGCACCACAGACGCCAGAGGAAAGGCGAGTATAATATCTTTTTCTTTATTCCTTTATTTTAAGTGTTTCAACAGGAGGTGGGGGCAAAAGTAAACAGAGGGATATCTGTGCAATGCTGGATTCCCTAGCATAGGTTAGCATCCAGTCGGATATACAGGCATGTAAAAAAGGCACTTTTCCTGTATACAGTAGCTTTGCTCTTGTAGAGACAAAATCCAAAAGTATAAAAAAAAAAAAACAAGGAGGTGAAAGACTAGTATTACAGTGCAAACAGTTTTTCCATAATAGTGTCTATTTTAAAGCCAAACCATTTCAGAATTCAGGGGGTCCCCCCTTCATTGGGGCATGTAAAATAATGTATTCTAGTAAATCTGAGCAACAAGGCTTGGAATTTCAGAAGGGGTTTGTTAAGGAAATTAGGAGATGTTATAGAGCCTAAACCAGTGGTTGCAGCATGTTGTGGGCTTTTGGAATCATGTCAAAAATATGACTTTTATCAAGACATAATGTTATATAGCCAACAGCTCAACAGAACCGGATGTTAAGAGTTAATTTTGTCTTGGTTAAACCTTCAAGAATTCTAGTTAAAGAACTGAAGAGAACAGGGAATTAAGACTTTTCCAAGACAATGGGATTGTTTAAAACTGTCAACAAGGGCTATTTGTATATGGAAGTGAGAAGAATGCATCTACAGAAAGTCAAACACATAGGACTCTGACTTGTAAACATTTCAACAATAATGAGACGGGAACTCAACTGTTTGGAAGCTTAACCAAAAAACCTGTAGAGTGTGATGAACCAACAAAACCTCTGAAAACTATTACTATCTACTATTGTTCACCAAGGGTGAAAGCATTAACAATTGTTTACCATGAGTCCGATACAAGGGCTAGGCAAACAGAGATTTTTTTCCTATACAGAGGAAATGTTGATGCTGAAACCAAGGGGTGAAATTCAGGACATTTAAGTTTAAAAGTTCACTGTATATCATTACAAAAATGTACTACAAAAACAGATTATAAATAAGATGTCATAGACTTTAAACACCACCAAT